TTCCCATCGTCTCGGTGACCCTAACCAGGCAGTCTACATCGCTTCACACGACTCAGACCAACACTTCATCGATTGTTGCCACGTCTTGGTCTGGTCACACTGAACCCTCTTTTAACCTAATCCAGCTTCTTTTGATATAGCACGTAGAGGTAGGCAGTGACTCGGTATGTACGATACATGTCCAAGCAACCTCAATCGAAGAAGGTTCAAAACCTCATCGACTAACTTGCCTTCTCTGCCCAGTACCCTTCATCTGAACTCAACATCGCTCACACGGTGATTCCACTAAACGCGAGCAATGCTACAAAGACAGCTGTGACCAAAACCCGGTAACCGTTTTATGTCTTCCACTTTCAGCTGCCATATCTCACAGCCTTACAACAGGACAGAACGATCTGCAGCGAAGTATACTCCTCTTTTGATAGCTAGTCAGATATCTTTTCGGCGCCACAAATGACAAAAGTTGGCGAATGACAAACGGGCCTTCTTTATGTGCGCTGTGATTTCGTCGGCAACCAGCCCGTTTAGGCTGATGCAACTCCGAAGTAAGTGAAGTGGTCGACACATTCCATCACTCTATTCCCTATCATTTAACTAAGAGTACTTGCGGCAGACCAATCCTGGAGCGTCGTCTTACATTTGAATGGGGGCGAAACGAATGACAAATATGCACAGATTTCTGCTCAACACATTCAGAAGACCGTGCAATGCGTCAATGTATTTATCTAGCAGGACAATATCGTCTGCATACTCCAGGTCAAACATATGACCTCCAGGTAATCGATCTATCCCTGTGAAGTCAGACGTACTTAATATTTGTCCATTAATACATCTATAAGGAAGTTAAATAGGGACAGTGACGGTGGCATTACTGACGGACATTAGAAGTAGTTACTGTCCATTCTGAAGGCAACTAGCCATAAGGCCTAACGCGGCTGCGTGAGTTCGAGTGGAGAGCTTTGGTTAGTGTTATATACTTTCTCGGTGCTCTAACAGTCAGACACTGCTACAACACCTTATGCTTGACTGAGTCGAGCGCTGTCTTCTGGTCAAGAAATATGGCAAGTGTCGACCGCTGGAAGTATTACCTTTGTTCCAGCACCAGTCAGAGGAGGAAAATACAATAGATGCCTTCTCGTCCAGGTCCGAAACCTTCCTGAGTTTCTCGAGTTGGTTGTTTTCTAGCTCAATTTAGGTGTCGGATAACCACGGACCCCAGTTGGAAACCATGTAAGTCAGACTGATTTCCGTAAGGTTGTCACAAGAAGACTTCTACCTCTCCCCCGCACTCATTTTAGACTGGAATGACCGGAATAGACCAATTTGGTTCTCGTACACTACGTAGTACCACCGTTACTCTAATCAGCATTTTTCCACCTCCATCATTGAAAACTTCAAATGGCAAACTTTCAGGCCCTGCTGCTTATCGTTTCAGGTACGACACGGCTTTCTCAACTTCAAGGATAGTTGGAGGATAGAAATCTCCGTCCCATTAAGGTTCAGGCTAGGTGATGGGCAACTACAGCATTGCTATGAGCCAGTTGAACTGTGCTTCAAAGTGTTCCGTCAAACCATCGTCTTTTTCTTGCCAGTATCCTTAATAGACTCAAATAATTGCTGAGTGTTACTCGACTCTAATGCCCTCTCCATCTCTCTCGCTTTCGCCACCTATCACTGCTCGCGATCGACGCGAAGACCCTATGTTAATTTATGTTTGAGCTGCTTTCGTTCTTCACTGTGGTTAGCCAGCTGAAACCAGTCTTCTCGTATCAATCAGTTTCGATGACGTTGCGAAAATCCAATGATATTTGCCAATCTTTGAGTGTAGGTTATCAACTGTCTTTACCGCTGTTTCTATAACAGACTCAACACCACGCCAGCTTTCCTCAGGATGAACATTCCTGTCATGTTCAGATAAATGCTTAGCTAACTGCTCCCTAAATACCTACTTAACGTCCTCATCTTCCAAGTGGGCACACAGGTGTTACTGTCACCTGTTTCCTGCGACTAGTAAGGCGAAGACATATGCAAACCCATTCTAACGTGTGGTCGGAGTCCAAACTGGTGCTCCATAAACAGTGGCAATACCCCACCGATCCTCTCCAACGACGGCTAATGGCGATATGATATCTGTGTCCGTTGTTGGTTTGATGTCGGCGAAGTCCATGTAGGACAGTGTCTCTCCTTATGCCTAAAGTTTGTGCTGACCAGAAACAAGTGGTTTTCAAAACGAAATTGCAACAGATGATCACCGTCGTCGGTTCGTTGGCAATGGGATTCGAACCAGCTCAGCTTCCATACTTGAGCACTGAAGATACCTTCCATTATGACTACATCTGAACACTTTTCTTTCTGTAACAAGGTCGACAGCTTCTCATAGAATTCATCCTTTGCATCATCCGAACTGTAGCCGGTAGATGCGTAGACAGAGGCTACGAATAGGCATCGCCTAGTTTCACGATCCTTCCTAATTCTTACAGATACATTCAGTCGAATAGCAAACAGATGTCTCCTGACTGGTAACCAGTCAAGGAGTGCACTTTCAGTCCTACAGCTCAATGCAATGCCTACACCAGCAAGCCCACGAGAGCTAGCTGCTTGGTCTGTGGATACTCGTAGGGTGAATTTCAAAGATTCACAACCACGGCCTAGTGAACCTAATTTAACGATCACACTCACCTCCTGGGTACATATTTTAGAAGCACAGCATACATCCATGGTTTGAGATTCAAGAGTTCTGGCGAGCAACGCTCACTGTCCTTTTTGGCATAAAGTTTGGAAGTTGAAACTTTCAATATGAAATCGATGGAGGTCTTAAAAATAAGGCCTTGATCATTGCAAATGGTCATAGAGTGAGAGGTTGGGTAAGGCGTAAGAGGTCTAATAGTATCGGCAAGTGAAGGTAAAGGAGACAGAGTTAAGGAGGAAAGGTTATGTTTGATTGGGTCTTGTGTACGATTGGAAGCGTGTGCGGTGTACACTTTCTGGCTGCCAACACAATGGAAGGCTAGTTTTTCTTGAGGTACCTGAAAGAAAAAAGACTTGTGTGACCACAGAGCCCATGGGACATCTGCTTGAGGACTGGTATACAGCCTTATAAGGATTGGCGTGTGGTTTGATTGTTCTAACGCCGAACCGGGGAAACCCATACCACCGGCAACGAAAGACCATGGGGCAAAGAGAAGTGAGCTATTTTGTGGGTCAACCTTTTCCCACGTCGCTCTTCCCATGGGGAAGGCAACATCAGAGCAACACCACTGTTCATCCAAGGGAAACACCTTACTGCTGTTACACCCTATCCAGCCAGCAGTACTTCGTCCTTCAATCTTCATCATAGAGTAACGATTTAAACCATAACTGCTTCTTGTGCTATTATTATCTAACAAACTTTCTGACACGACAGAACCCCAACAAACAAAAGGCTAAACCAGCATACCTCGCTGAGTCACTGTGACATGCAAGCCCGACTATAACCCCAAAAATAGTAGTTATCGTTTCAAATTTCGATTGCCATACAAATAAGCTCCCATACACATTTCTAAGTTATATTAATTTTGTAACAACTCAACACCAAATAAATGAGACTAAGTAATGGTGTTCATGCTCATACACCACTTTCAGCTACACACTGCGGTTACCACTGGTACTACTGGCTGTTCAAATATATATCGATAAGAATCCTCAAACCTGCTAGTTTCTGAATGACTGATTCACGGCAACACAGCACAACTAGCGAGTTGCATAGGATCTAAACATAAGACTCAAGTAAGCAGTTTTCATAATGCAACGTAAATTCCTGTTAACGAAAAACATTTCAAAGCATTTGAAAACAAACTACAGTCATCATTGACTAGCTTTGCTCACAGTCACCTCTATTTTTCTGGTTTCCGATAAGAAAATACATAAATCATAAAGGAACTTTGCACAGAAGCGCAACGCTTTAAGAGATATAAACCCTGTTTAGAGGTGGTCTTTTAAAAGTTCTTACGTTTTCAAGCAAACAGCAATCATTTTTTAGAAAACCAGTCACGGTCAGAAACAAAACAGGGGAATTTCAGAAATTAGTCCATGTTAACCGTTTTCCTCTAAGTATGTACACGATCTTCGCTCAAAAAATATTTAGTATTCATGTCTTGAATAAAACTTGATGGATAAAATCCTGTTTATGATACTGGATGGATGTCACTAGGCAACTTAATGGCTGTTTGTAGGCAACCGTGTGGCTAAACATGAGTTCTCAACCTACAGTACTTCACAAAAAAATGAAAAAAATCAACCCTAGTAGACGATTTCAAAGTATCAAATATTAGATCACCTTCAATGGTTGCCCTAATACCCACATCTAGCGTGATACAATTTTGAACGAGTCATAAAACTAAAAACCACTTCATATACGTTACTGGCTTACTAATTCCTGTCACCTACAATCAATATTCAGAAACAGGCACATTTTGAATGACATCCATACCCATCAAAAGGATTATGAACATCGGCAACCAGTGTCCGAATATGGGCACTCACTTTTCAAAGATACGGACACTGAACCACTAGTTGCTACAGTGAAGCGCTTGATATTCCAAATTTTTGCTGTATCCTTTAAATTGTGTTGAGTGAAGGTGTATAACACTATCTGCCTCCTCTGACAGCTTAAACTGGTGAGGTCCCGCTACAGATTACTGCACTTAGGGTGCCGATGAAGAACTGCATATCAATTACATCCCATAGAATGGGTACAGAACGAATCTGTTCCAAACGTTACATTTCCGTAGCGAACATGGACAAAACCTACAGGTCATTAGTTAAATATAATGTGCGCTGTGTACCATTGATGAAACACAGCCTGGTGCCTTAAAAATACGATTCCAGATGTTGCAGCATGAGAACGGTGATAACTTACCATATGAACCACAAAAGATGAAATACTGAGAAAATTTAATGACAATGACTTGTTGTACACTGCAATGAATATATTGGACAAGAAAATTTCCAAACACTGCACATTAATCACGTCTTAATGGGTAAGAAACTTCACTAACACCATCTTTAGTAATAGTCTGGATTACAACGCTGTCACCACACTGAATATCCCTTTCTGCAGCGCTGATGAAGATATCATGAGCAAGTTTAACGGCTGTTTCTTTGTCCAGAAGCGATGTGTGGTATTTCGAAGTTTTATTCCCCACCTTTTGAAAATGAAGAACATCAAGTAAACGACCTTACTGTGCTATCCAAAAATGGTTGCAATATTGCTGATGAGCTTCCAGAGGCTCGATATGCTTCAGGTTCATATGATCCGACTGGATCGTAACTATAAAGAACACCACGTCCTTCTTCGAGTCCAACCAGTATATTACCAACGTAAAATGGAAAAAACCGTCTGTTGTAAAGAGTTACAGATAAAAGGCCAGCCAATGCTTTCGTTGAGATATCTTTCCCATGGTCATACCGATATGTCTAAATTTACAAAGCCATAACATTAGTGACTTACTTTGACCTTATTTTCTAGGAGCTTAGTCAGTGTTAATACATCTCCATGGAATCCGGCACACCCAAGGATATTCCCAGGGCCCCTATCATGTTTATTTATTGAAACCAGTACTTACAATCGAAATAACCGAGGAGAATTCCTTGAAAGAATGGCGAAACCCCCATCACAAAGACGAGTGTCGGAGGCAATTAAGGCAAAATCAATGCCGGCGATTCCCATAACCGTCCTAAAAATAAACACTCCCTTAAATTTACAATTTACATACCCTCCATTAGATGAGTATGGGTCAAACATGAGTCAGCAATTCACGAAGGTTACGCCCAGTCCAAAACCCCCGCCTTACCGCGGAGTTTCAAATGAGTAATGATGAAGTAGAGGAAGATTTTTGCCCAACTAACCTTCACATCTCTAGTCAGTAGACCAACAGTTTCTGTGTCTAAGACCCAGAGCATAGAAGCGAAGAAAAAACAACATAAAAAGAGATAAGTCTTAGTTATATTGTGTGACAATGCACCAGGTACTTATTAGGTTTCCTACTTCAATAACCTTGGTAGTGGTGCATTCATCGGAGTTTTCAGCACTTGGTAGATTGAACTGGTGGCACAGGGTATGTGCATATGACACATTTGGCCACAGATTTTAAATAACTTTTAAACTGTTAGGACCACCCTCGGAAATTTGAGGATGTAACTTACTGGTGACCAGGTGGCCGAATATCGTGGCTCGGTTATATGTTAGAAAGTGATAGTCTTCCCGTAGAAGATACGCGTCTCAGTTTTCCACCAGTATGAACTCCAACATCCAACATCAATAGTACGAGTAGAGGAAACTTCTAGTTTCTGAGCTTTCGCTTCTGGGTCTTGAGGCTCGGTTATTTTTCTTTGACTTTTGTTTTCCTTCACAAGTACGCATACCCCTGGCGAAAGCTTACAAAAGAATTTCTCTTGGTGATTTGAATATTTCGCTTTCTTACAGTGAAGTGAACAACAAACAAACGAAGGTGATTAGGGTACAGAACAAACTAATTCGGAAAGAGGGCCATTCGAAATATATACTTTGTTTCAACCGTGACTGCAGTTAGACTGACACTTTACCAACCGATAAGATATAATTTCTTAAATAGCGGAACAATGTACTTATTTTTCGATACATTCTCCTTCCGGTGGTTACTCAAGGTCTTCGGTGCGTACACATATTCCTGCTCACCTTAGTGTGCTTTCTTTGCTAACTGATTAAGTCAAAAATCGGCTGGGAAGCTGTAGAATGTTGGCAACCGACAGTCGGTATCTACGCGGCGGCAGCTGGTGCAGCGCTTTAGAACCGCAAAAGGGAGTTTTCCTGTGAAGAACCCCTTGACCCCGAGCAAAGCTGTCCTACAGTAGATGAGAGATGGGCAGCATCAAGAGCACGATATAGGGGACAACTTGTCCTAGTCCTCCGGATGTGATGTGGTCCCTTCATGAAGACTATGGGTTCATTGCGTGATGCTTTGGTTGATACTGGAAGTGTTACGAGCACAGTTTGGTTGGCGGTCATCACCTGCACAAATGGATCTTATTATCTGCAAAAAGGGATGATACCCAATGGTGTTTGGGTATTCTCCGGTGGGGATGGTATCCTTCACCCCACCCAACATGAGTTCGCAAATAGGAGGTAGTATGCCACTGACATAACTTGGTAGCTAACTGAGAAAACAAGCCACCATTTAATATCTTTTTTTCAGGCTTACGAAGGCTTTTGATGGTGTCTCACACGACAAAATTTTCTAAAAAAATTTCTGAAGTGAGAATAAGTGAACCGCCAGTCCCGAGGTTCAAAGCATCTTCAAAGGATACAAAATTCAGTACCAAACCAATGAATCCTGGTCTCCATGGAAGGCTCCACGACCCGAGTGTCTGGAGCAGCGATCTCTCGTCCGTTCCCATTCCTCTTTAGCATAAGCGATCTAAAATGCCGGTTTCACGTGATCCCACCATCCCAGAAAACGTCAAAGGTGGCAGGCAGCAGAAGGAAGTGATGGCACAAAACGGCTGCAGGATGGCCCTACACAGATAGAATCTTCAGCAGCAAGAAACGCATTAATACCCAACCAGCAAGTGTCGATCAATATAGCTTTCAACCCCTGTAGTTAGCAGAATAAGCTACGCTTAGAAAGCCTAGTTGTTCCACAGGCGACCCTGGGCTCCAGTACATCCTATACCATATACACTGACACGAAATATCTGAGATGAACGCCGAGGCAAACCCCGTTGTGCACTCCTTTGGAGATCAGTAAGGGGCTGTCATTCCTGAATGTTTCTGATGTTCTTGAAAAATTGACGAAACCGTATCTTGTGGTTCGTGGCGCTGTTTATTCGAGAGCCGGGACTCCTGCTGAAGGTGATGGGGAGGCCAATGAAGTATACCATTGGGCCAGATGATAAATTTTATTCTGAACGTTTCTCACAACTTTACCCACCCATAATTAGTGTACGGGACCGTTCATAGGGTAAATCATCCAAATAGCGGTTACCACAACCAACTCTCTATTTCGGATGTCAGATAAGAAGACGGGAAAGTGGTTCGTGATCGACACTGAGGTTGAGGTGGCGATAATCGCACTTTCACCTTCCGGCAAGTACCATCCGAACCCAGCTTCGGTGCTGTAAGCAGTGAACAGATAGTGAAATAATTTGAGATCGAAGTTTTGACTGAGAATAGCATTGTTAGTTTACCTTTGCTGATATCTCGTCCAGGTTTTTTCCAGCATGATGAACAATAAGTTGAACCTGGCTGTCAAAGACTGGATAGCTATATTCTGTCTCGGTTATCCTTACCGGCACACAACAAACGCACTTGCCCGTAGACCTAACAACTAACACCTCCAAGTGGTACCATAACGCAGGAGTTTACCGGTCTCAAAAAAAACAGACATCACAAAGTCGTCCCTGAAATATGGTGAAACAACCCGTCGTCGGTAAAGATCTTTCGGTCTCTTCAACAAAAAGATCTCAGACGACAGGGTAGAAAATTCATTTATTAATATGCCTTTTCAACGGTCAATTGTCATCACCGATGCGTGCAGTTCCAGAAGGGCACTGGATCGACAGACGCAAAGATCAACCATAAATTCCTCCTACCTTTACAGCATCCACGGCTAGCAGACCAGGACGGAACTTGATAGAGTGGCCAGGTAAGAATAGTACCCCTCACAAACTGGGCCGAAATGCCAATTCTCCTCGGCCAAACGGCTAGAAGGTCGCGTACAAGCAATATAGAACAATAACATGGCAAACTGTGTGAGCGCTCAAACGTGTGTCTAAGCGTTAACCAGCTCATTAAAGGTATTAAGATCAGCACCAGTGTCGAGTCGCAACAATCCTCAAGCTATTGGTTCTGGTGAATAATCCGGCACCACGAAATATAGCGTGAACTTGCATCGTCTACACGCCGTTGAAAAAAAATGGTCGCGTATAGACATCCCACTCATCACATACAGGATGAAAATTGATGTGTTCAGAAAATGATCCCATCACATCCTATTACCATATTTTAGCGATTCTCTTAAACCCGTAATCATGATTTCGTTCGGATAATTCGAATATGGTCATATGTCGCATTGTCTGGCAAGTGTCGAGCAACCCTTCCAAAGGTCGGTCACTCTATAGTTTACTTTTCATCAACGCGTATATGGATGACCTACTAGTAAATAGAGCATCTGAACCAAGAACTCTGAAGCGCCTGAGAACACCGCTAAAACGGCTAAGCGAACACGGCGTAACGGTTAACCGGGAGCTACATGAATTCGGCAAAGAATCATCACAGTTCTCAGGCTACGTAGCGAAGTACAACGATGCTGAACCGCTACCGGAAGAAGTAGGTGCAATGAAACAATGTTCTGATCCAGACTCGTTTTGAAAGCCGTACGGATTACCTGGGTTAATGAAAATTCCAGCAATGCCTTGTACCTACTTGTTCCAACTTATCTTGACCTTTAAAAGACCCACTGCAGGGACGAGACTAGTTCAAATGACCCATGGTGGTTGTAAATGCTTCTAACAGACAGCAGCACGCCATCTCTTCTGGAACACTCTATAGCGCTCTCTGCAGTTGCAACAGGGAAGCACCACTGGTATTACCGTTGAAAGCTTGAGGTGGTGACGTAGGCCCGGCACGACAACAGAGCCTGTAGTCGATGTTGACCGCTATCTGTCTTTACGAAACAACCTAGGGCCTCGCAGTCGTGGCACAATGCACCCGAGTGCGGGTTACAAGCCATATTGACCACCTTCAGACGTTTCGGACCAACAGTCGGGGCATCGTTCATACAGGACTGGAAGGCGTGGCATCGTGTGAAAGAACGAATAAGAGGTGCCATAGGACGCCATGAAAGGAAGCCGATGTCCACCAGGCAAGAAGATGGGAGATAACATCTAAGGGCACCATTGGTCGTGTCGTTCACAAAGGAATTATCTGGTAAGCAAAGCCACGCAACATGACAGTGAGCGCTTTGGTTAAGTCAAAACTAAGATTTCAGGAAGAACTAAAACGCATAGCCTTGCCAACCGAGCAAGGACATCTGTTTGTAACTCTATCATTGACAGCCACAGTACTCCTAGTCCCGGTACTCGATCTACGTTAAGAACGATCACTCAGCCATACATCCGGCAGAACATAAATCGCGATCAACGACAGTGATTCAAAGCCCGCTTTGGATGCCATAGATCTAGTGTTCAGAGACAAACTCGTCCGTCGACCCGCAGACTCACATCACCAGATATCGGCATCAACAGGCCACTGTTTCCATAAGACTTTCTCAACCATATTTTGACATGTACAGACGGATTAACGAGGTGACCAGTCGCAGTATATCTGCATGACACATCTGCCAAAACTGATTTTTAACCTTGGTGTTTACAGTATTACCAATGCAAACACATGCATAATTCGAAAGTTGTCTATCTTAGCAGCTGACTAAACTTCGTGGAATCAAACGCAAAAGGACTAATGTGAACCATCTCGCGTTTAGTGCAGTTGTTGAAAGGTTTCACTGACAACTAAATGCTGGGTCGAGGTCAGGAGGTACTGATGACAAAAGGAGCGGCAAACAGCCATTGGTAGTCTCTGGTGTGCACTTGTGCTTCAAGCTGGGCACTGGTCCTTTTCCTACAGAGTTACTTTGCGTAAATGATTTTCGCTTGACTGGAGAATACCTTAACCAAGCTAAGGAAGTACTGTCAGACATAACTTTGTCCAAAAACTATATCGCCAAATGCGTACATCATGACCTCCGTGCCCACAATGCCATTCGCACC